ATTATGTAACAGGATTTTATACAGGTGATGACTATTATGTAACAGGATTTTATACAGGTGATGACTATTATGTAACAGGATTTTATACTGGTGATGACTTTACTCCTCATGTTAAATGGCAGCAAGTTTTTAAATTGAAAAATTCCAACTTACTATGAAAAATAAATTGCAATTTGAATGTAGATAATTTTAATAATTTTAAACTTAGTTATTAGACACGTCAATTTATAATGTCAACCGCCTTATTTTTGTATTCAACAATACTTAATTGGTTTTCAGAATTTGTAGTGAATACTGGAGGGATTATGACATTTTGGCAATAAAGTTAGTAAAAAACTATCTTTACTCCCCAGGTTAATAAAAAAAAATTATTTCAACCAAAATTTTGCTATTGTGGCTTCATCAGGGCTAGTTGTACAAGAACTGGCGAAACAACGTTGGCTGAAATTATTTGTATTATCTGTAGGGTAAATATTACTATTTATTAAATTTAGTGTCAACAATAAAATTCTAGATAGATTGAAACGAATAAAGGTTGAGTTAAGTCCAAAGTATGTTATACTTTACCTAGCTACCATGTATATAAAGTATCCCAAAGGAAATGGTCTTCTGGTGGCGAAGAAGTTGTTTAGACAATATTTAAACAATTTAAAATAAAAAATGTATTAAGTGTTTTCAATAACGTGAAATTGTATAAGCATTCTCAGCAAGGAAATTAGTGTTAGTAAAATACTGGTTGCATACAAAAAATATATCAATAATAAACTTTCCATGAAGATACATTCGGTTTACTTCGAAATTACGTACACCACCATCATTTGTGCTGCATAATAACCTCCTATACAAAGAAAAAGTATGATCTGTAACTCTGTCTCAGAGTTCGGGTTTAGTATGTTATTAGTAAACTCTGTCTCTTACCTCAGCAACTAGAACTACTTTTAATCTTTAATAAAATGTTCCCATTAAGTTAATAATTAAAATGTGGCAGAGTTTATTATCAAATAATAAAACACTGTTAAATGATAATCAGATCGTACCTGAACAAACACGACCGGGTAAATCAGGGTCCAGGTCATCGTAATTTTTCTTACAACTACATGTGTACGTCCCTGGTAAGTTCGTGCAGATTGCCGAGCCTGCGCAGTCGTTGTAGTTTTCGTCACTACATTCGTCAAAATCTGAAAAGTTCAGATACATTAAAATATCAATTTACGTACAAAACTGGTCTTTATTATTATAGATTTCTATTTATTTTGTATTTTCTGTTAAAATAAAACAGCAAAATCTGGTTTCTCGATATTCACTCTTCCATTTTATCCTGCTTAGTTAAACAAAAGCTGATATCTCGATATCCACTTCCCAGTTTATCCTGCTTAATTAAACAAAAATTGGTTTCTTGATATCCACTCTCCCATTTTATCCTGCTTAATTAAACAGAAAATGGTATATTGATATCCACTCTCCCATTTTATCCTGCTTAGTTAAACAAAAGCTGATATCTCGATATCCACTTTCCCAGTTTATCCTGCTTAATTAAACAAAAATTGGTTTCTTGATATCCACTCTCCCATTTTATCCTGCTTAATCAAACAAAAAATGGTATATCGATATCCACTCTCCCATTTTATCCTGCTCAATTGAAAAGTGTGTAATGCATTAAAGGGTTCTAACTTAATTCTATGGAATTTAATATTTTATTAATTAAGAGTAGGATTGTTATAATACATACAATTATCTTGGTGTTTGATACAATATCCGACAGTTGACTTGAAATCAAAGGACGTACACATACAAAACTCTAAGTTAATTTTTTGTAAGGAAAGTTATGACAAAATTATTATTAATTACAATATTTGACACAATACTTTCACTCTTTATGAAAGAAAATACGGGAAGATTATAAGTGAACAAACAAGATGTAAAACGAAAATATACAAACAGAATTTTCATACAGATATGTACAACAAGCAGATGCTCGTTAAAAAACAATTCAACGGTAATTTTCCTGAAAATAGTGATGAGTAAAAATAAAATGTGCACGTCAACCCAATCCCTTGGGTCAGAGCGTATATGCAATATGATTGTCTAGTGGGCCGTTTACAACCGTTTTTTTTTTTCATTCCATGTGTTATTTCAATATGAAAAATGACATTGCGTCTATTTTTAAGCAAAGGAGACTGACTGCAATGCATTGTTCACAAAAATGTTTGGATTTCGATGTAATGATGCATCCAGAACAGTAGAGCGCTCAGGTTCGCTAAATAACCACGAGGATTGTTTTTCGCTGGATGCCACCATTCCTTGTCATTTTACTGAACGCAAGAAAAGCCACTACCAAAACGGGAGCTTTTTGATAGTTGTCATTTCTGTAAGAAATGTTAAAGGGGAGATATTCAGTTCAGTACAGTAAATTAATGCATGTACATATAATATCGACATGAGAACATGTGTATATAAACCGAACAAAAAATATATACTCAAACATCTTTCTCTCTTTATGCGTTTTTTCCGTTCATGCTCCTATTTTCGAAATATTTCTTTCAATCAGTCGATGGAGGAAGCTCAGTATTTTTACGTGAAATTCCATCACAAAAAGAAAATTTTTTTGTTCTTAACAATTTTTTTTTCAGACTGAACGTTTAGCCCATATGGAGACTGAAGAATTGGTGCTGATATCGATATGAAAATTTAGGAATTGCAACGAAAAATAATAATTTTCCTGTAATGTACTCTTGAAAAGAAGCGTTTAGATATATAATTTTTGGACGGTTAACCTATCAGGAGATACAGAGAGTGACAGAGAGATATTTGGATATTATTTCCCCTAAAGAAGGCCGAAGGTCGCCTGGAGGTGTCACATGTTTTAATCACTCGCACCACTATATAGTAGTATTTTATCTATCAGTCAGTCACTAAAATGTGCGCATGCCATGAATCACGAGAAGAATTATGCACTCTGTAGGCTACAACACAGCATGACATGTGAATTTCAAAAATAGGAAATAAAAATATTTGTTACTCTTAATCTTGGTTTTATTTACCCTTGAATCGGAACACTTTCGAAGATCCTGAGTAAGTACATCTAGTATATGTATATAGCGAGAGTGAAAGAGATTATATGAAACCAAACTACACTTAAATTATACGAAACACCGTAGCGCAGAAACAAATATGTACCAATTGTTATTCAACATTCAACCACATCCCATGATCAGAAATATTGTATCGTAAACTCAGATATTCACCAGCCAGTTCCCACGTTCTCAGATTTATATTATTCATTATCATTTCCAATAGTGTGAGTAGAGTCTAATCTTCTGAGAAGACAATCTGCTTAAATACATACCAGTTATTTTAATATTATATCCTTACCATATAGGAAGGAAGAAAGAATGGCGTGAAAATAACAGAAAAAGAATATCATTTGTGTGTAAAACCTAGTTGTTTCATTGTTTTCAATATGATACGAACCTTGTACATCCTCGACTGCCTGAACGTACAAGTCTGTTCCTCCCACCCTGTTATCGGATTTCCTCAAAGATCGAATGAATTCGTCTTTTAGCACATTCTCGTCCACAGCGGAATTTCGATTTACAGAAACCGTCAGGTTCACGAGTAATCCTTCACGTGGTGAATCTAGATTACTAATTCCGGCAGAATTTGTAAATCCATTGACGTCAGCTCTGACGTAATTTGGTCGTACTTCACTAGCTGCATAAGCTAAGTCAATCTATGTAAGACATGGTGAAGAAGTTAACTGATTTTATTCGTTCATCTAACAACTGTTTTAATTCTTACAACAACGAGAAAAAACACATTTATAAACTGTAACGTTTCAACAACAACAGAAAAACAAAACAAATCAAGAAATATCTGTATCATATTTCATTCTCAGAGGTTTTACGTTACATTAGAACACTTATATTTATATAGTAAAGAAATTAATGTATGTTACTAACGATGTCAGCATGGATTCGACGCTCTTTTATTATCTCAATCTAGTATTATTGTAACGTATATCTTAACGGATGAAATTAAACACACAAAAATAACATGTTTTCTCATTGTAATAGTTGTTGTCCATCAAACCGGTTCAGTGTTAACCTGCTTTTGTCATTAATTCATCGTTATTTATTAATTCCCTGTTTGTTTTACGCGCTCGAACATAATTATTGAATTCAATTTACATTATGAGTGCATTCGGTAAATAGGTTCAAGCTCAAAGACAAGATGTTTCTCTAATCAGAGATACTGACTTTCAGAAAACAAAACTACCTGCTCTATTATCACCAGACTACAACAAGTTACTGGTGGTTAGAAAAGTCTGTAAACAAATGAAAATTAGTAAGGGTGAAACGAGAATAAAGGTAGTTGGTGTTAATTTGAATCTCACCCCTTGTTGAACCATGTGAGCAAAGTTCCGATATTCCTGGGAGTCTGTGTTCGAAAGAGACGAGTTATAGATCACAGAGGATCTTCCAAGTTTCACCACTCGAACCAACATTACGTAGCTCTTGGTCGCTAAAAAGATAAAACTTTGTTTCTTAAAAGTAATTCTGATTTCAAGGACAAAACTAATCACATTTAGAGTCGTAAAAATAATAAATCATAAGTATTAGAACCTTCATCTTCATTTTACTAACATATTGAACTTTAGTTACCTTGAACTAGAAAATTCAAAAAATAGTCTGATAAATCACCATAAGACCAGAAATTGTTTACTGATAATAATTTTGTTGATTACTAGATAGCGGGATATCTCCACGAAGTACTCGCAAATATCGTTTCTTGTAAAAAAAAAAAAAGGAATTTCAAAAAATATTTTCGTAGTTTACTGTTTGTAAATTTTCTGCATAGAAAAGGTGAAATTGTGAATTGTGTTACTTTAAAGACACTGATTTCTATTATGTATGCACCAACGTTCACAGAACTGATTTCCTTTAATTTAAAGACACTGATTTCTATTATGTATGCACCAACGTTCACAGAACTGATTTCCGTTAATTTAAAGATACTGATTTCTATTATGTATGCACCAACGTTCACAGAACTGATTTCTTTTAATTTAAAGATACTGATTTCTATTATGTATGCATCAACGTTCACAGAACTGATTTACTTTAATTTAAAGACACTGATTTCTATTATGTATGCACTAACGTTCACAGAACTGATTTCCTTTAATTTAAAGACACTTATTTCTATTATGTATGCATCAACGTTCACAGAACTGATTTCCTTTAATTTAAAGACACTGATTTCTATTATGTATGCATCAACGTTCACAGAACTGATTTACTTTAATTTAAAGATACTGATTTCTATTATGTATGCACCAACGTTCACAGAACTGATTTCCTTTAATTTAAAGATACTGATTTCTATTATGTATGCACCAACCTTCACAGAACTGATTTACTTTAATTTAAAGATACTGATTTCTATTATGTATGCACCAACCTTCACAGAACTGATTTCCTTTAATTTAAAGATACTGATTTCTATTATGTATGAACCAACCTTCACAGAACTGATTTCCTTTCTTACGGGAATACCCAGGCTTACATTGGCATGACCACATGTTCTTGATTCTCTTACAAATTTCTTGATTATCTACATCACATTCAGGGAAACAGCCATCAATCTCTGGTCGACCAATTCCTTGCCCTCTTACGTTTTCCTTCGACCTAGTTGTTGGCAGATTACCGGGTTGTTGTGACCGAGGTGTGGGAACTGTTGGTAGATTACCGGGTTGTTGTGATCGAGGTGTAGGAACTGTTGGTAGATTACCGGGTTGTTGTGAAGAACTTGCACGCTGATTGGGAGTGGGTGGTAAAGAATACGATATTTTGTTATGAACTACAGTAGAGTTGAATCCACTAGTAGGTGGATCAGATTTTGGTAGTTTATTACGCTCTAGTTGGTCCCTAGTGCCAGAGTCAAATGATAGCAGCCTATTGCCACTTAACTGGTCTCTGGAATCAGAAATCGATGTGCTATCTGCAGATTCTGGAGGGGCAGGGGGCGTTTCAGTCCCTGCATTGAGTACAGTCGATTTTGTTTTAACATGAGAACGGGTTGTTTCTGTTGGTCTGACAGCACGAGTGGGAATAACTAATGTACGAACCACCGTGGTGGTGATCGAGTTGAAAATCAGCGTTGTCGTAGTTACTGTGGTAGTAGATTCTGATGGCATCGAAGAATAATCAAATTTTACAGCTTCGGTTGGTTCTGGTAGGGTACCCAGTATCGTTCTACTTCCTATGATCGTGGACACAAACGTCCTTGGTGGTATAGTTGTGGTAAATATGGATGTGATTGTCAAAGGGCTGTCACGTGTGTAATAGATCTTGGTGGTTGTCAGAGTGAGTGTTCTAGTAGTAGACTCCACACTGGTAAGATATCTGGTGTTTGTTTCAGTTACCTTCTTCACTGAATAATTATCTCCTTGATGAACAGATGACGAAACAGTAATCTCCGAAGTGTCAGTGGTAAAAGGAAAGAAAATGGTTTCTTCTCCCACTGAAGTTTTTCTTATAATAGTTTGTCCATCTTTTGTCTGTGTAGTGTAGTCCTCACTGCCACTCGGTATGACTTTTGGAAGTAATGGTGTTGAAGACATTCCAGAATCCAATGCTGATATTATTAAGGTCTTTGAATTTTTGGCTGAAGTTGAAAGTTGACCATCATCATTAATAAATATTGTCTGAACATTGACAAATGTAGAGGAGCGTGTCGAGGGTTCTAAGACTGGTGCATCAACAATAGTAGAGTCTTCATTTGTGTCCTGGTCTGGTTGTCGTCCAGTAGGAGATCCCAAAAATACTGTTTTAGCTCCAACAATGACAGAGGTGCGTATAGTAGGTTTGATGCTAAGTTTGATGCTTTTAAGACTGGGCTCAACACTTAAAGTTCTGAGAGTATCAGAGAACACTGGAACTGAGCTTTCAGTAACTTCTTTCACAGAAGAAACATCATCACTTTGTTCTACTTCTGTGGGTTCAATAAATATGGTTCTTACTCCTGTAAGTACTTCTGTTTTAACTGTAGGAGCGATGCTGGTATCTTTCGTGTTATCACTTTCAGAGAGAGGTGTGAATCCAGTTATTAGGGTTCCAGGTTTAAAAATGTCACTAATTAGAGGAACCCTAGGTTGTACGTTGTCTTTACTTGTAAAAATGGAAGAAGGTAATCCGTGATCAATAGGTTTTGATTCAGTGACACTAACTGATTCAAGTCTTTCAATTGGTATTTCTGTTCCTGGATAAACAGGTACTGGTTGGGATGGTTTGATGGTCTTACCTATAGCTCCTATAGGTATGTAAACAGGCTCTTCCGCATTACTAACAGTAACTCCTTCTGTTGGAGGTAAAGGCGCCGGCTTCGAGATGTCAGTGGCTTTGATTTCAGAATTTCCTTTTGTATCATTCTTAGCACTTCCTGCAAACAAATGAACAATGCCCTTTACAGCTTCTGCAAGGTTATTTCCTATATTAGCATTCCCTCCCAACAAATCAGAAAGTTCAATTACAGATCCTGGTTTAATATCACTGTCTCCTTCTGGTCCTTCACTCTCGGGTATTTCTGTTGGAGTAACAACAGCTGTCAATTCAACATCTGTGAATCTCGTCTTCTCGCCGTCTATACCAGTAACCATGTACAGTGTCATATTTGGAGACACTGTTGTACTTATATTATTCGACCCAATAAAAATCGTTTCTTCACTTAAAACGAAAGTAGAAGTTACGGGGAAAATATCGCTACTTAGTAAAGAACTGGACAATTCAGATACTAAATCACTACTCTCAGGATCTTCCCCAGAGCTTGGGCTAATAATGTCGGAAGTTAAGTCACTAGTTGTTGAAGAAGACAGTGGTACAGCAGGAAGGATAAAGTCTGTAAAAAATATTACAGTTGAGCCATCAACGACAGTTGTAGATGTACCACTCAAAATAGAAGAAGTTACAGTGGCTTCTGTCATTTCTTTATCAACTGCGAAAATTACACTACTTTCAGGAAGTGAGGAAGAGAAAACAGGTGTTTGTGATTTAGCAACACTACTGAGAACTATTAAACTAACTGATGATTCTAATGCAGATGTAGAGTCAACCTTCTCTTGATCGAAACCTGAGCTATTGACTTGTACAACTTCCTGCTGTGGAGAGCCTGTATTTATTTTACTAGACACTTTTGTGTTCACGGCTACCCTAGTCTCTACTGCAAGTGTTGTTTCTAGATTTATAGAGCTCTCTACTGCGGTATTTGACCCTATGTTCACAACCGCAGATGTCCGTGTTAGCTTTTCTTCAGGCAACTTGGTGGCAGTCGAAGTGGAAACTTTACTGGACACAATCGTTACGATGTTTACTTCATCAAGCTCAGAAGTAGTTGGTATAATGGAAGAAGTCGCAATGACTGTTGCAATCGAGGTTGAATCGTCTATTGATGGTTCTGCAATTTCAATGTCTGAAGAAACTGTTGGAGTATGAAGAACACTTGAATCTAGCGATGTCTGAGAAGCCAGTGGAGATGTAGGCTCTACAGTAACATATTGGGTTACTGCTCGGAGACTAGAGGATACAACAGTATTGTCTCCATGAACAAATGTAGTGTAGTAAGTGTACGTAGTGAAGAAAGTCAGGGTGCTGTCAATGTTGGACACGGGTTTTGATAGGATATCCTCAGTGGTTGATACTGATGTAGAAGATGTTGGTGTTGGTGTGATTGTAATTGTTTCTGTAATCACTCGAGGAATAACTTGTTTACTTGATATAGTAACCTTGTCCTCACCACTAAAGAGTGTCGTGTAAAAAGTATACGTTGTGTACTCAGTAGAAGTGGAGTACGTAGTAATTGGTGTAACAGAAAGAGTTTCTGTCTCCACTGTCGATACGGGGTGGCTTGTATATGGCACAAACAGAGTAATATAAGAAGTAGAAACTTCCTGCCTGGTAGAGATAATTGTATTAGGACCACTAACAAGAGTAGTGAAATATGTAAAAGTTGTGAGAAACTTCTGAAGTGAAGACACCAACTGAATGGTTGGAGTCTCTTCTGGTACTGTTCGTGATGCATTGATAGAGGTTCTGAGTTCTGGTGAAATACTATCAGTGGCTACAGTTGTAACAACGTCCGTATAACTAGAGGAGTCGCTAAATGGTCGAAGCAAAGTTTCTGTGAGAAGTTTGGAACCAATCTCTTCTATAGACGATAGTACAGTTTCAGTACCACTAAAGAGGGTGATGTAGTGAGTGTCTGTAGTGTAAAGTGTTCTGGTGGTATACACTGTAACTAGTGGACGGACATCTTTGCTCAATATTGTTGAGACAGATGTGCTGGGTCGTAGTCCCGGTAGAGTGACAGTGTAAACATTAGAAGTGATCTCTTCTAGACTTGAGATTACTGACGAGTCACCTTGGAAAAGTGTAACGTAATTCGTGAAAGTGGTGTAGTCGGTGAAGGTGGAATAGATGGGTGGTGGAGAGACAGTAGAGGAAGGTGTCAATTCATCTTCTGATGTAGACTCCATGGATTTGGTGAGTGTGATAAGCTCTGTAATAGTGTAGACATCGGAACGGACATCTTCTATAGGAGACACAAACGAACTCGTGCCATTAAACAAAGTCGCATAGAAAGTTGAAGTCCTATATACAGTACTGGTAACCAGTTTTTCACTAGTTTCCAGGATTACAGACGGGGTGGGGGACACTGCAGGGATATTCGTAGGTGAGAATGTATTAGCCAAGGCAGGCCTGGTGACAGGCACAGTTATCACGTTGGATACAACTTGTTCCGAACTTGAAATAATGGACGTAGTATCCGAGAAAAGGGTCGTAAAGAAGGTGTACGTGGTATAAAATGTCCTAGTGTCGTAGACCACCGAGTAAGATGGGTCCTTCATGAAGACAACATCTGTCAACAAAGTAGGTTGCAGGGTTACAGGAGAGCTGTCTTCATCATGATACTGTATAGTCTCTCCATCAGCATCACTAGCAACGATCAAAGTTACTCCATCGGATACTCTTGTAACCAAAGAACGGCTGACTTGATGACCAGTTCCTTGTTGTGGGGCCACAACTTCAACTGGTGGTAATGTCTGGCGAGTCGACTGGTAATCTGGAGTATTCAAGTAAAATAGAAACAGATATTCAAACCACAAATCACTCCATATTTTAAATATACAAACTACAAGTTACCCCATATTTTAAATATACAAACTACAAGTTACTCCATATTTTAAATATACAAACTACAAGTTACCCCATATTTTAAATATACAAACTACAAGTTACCCCATATTTTAAATATACAGACTACAAGTTACCCCATATTTTAAATATACTTTTTTTCTATTCCCCAAAATAGCAAACACTAAGTTCAAACTAACATTCCTTACTTGCATTTCTAACTTCTGTACAATGGCAAACTATACAAGATAAACGACTTGTTACATGATTAATACTAAACCTTTTATGTTATAAATATTTTAATTTTATAAGAAATAATAATAAGAAATAACTGGGATATACTCGTATTTAAAAATTCGGTAAATCTTGTAATTTTAACCATATTTTTCATAAACAAAGCTTTTTTTTGTAAATACTGCCATCATCTTTAAAATATACTTAGATTTAGTCACCGTTTTCATTTCAGTTCGTCAAAACTCTGGTGAAGCCTATTTTAGCTATGCAAGTTAATTTTCAATTTTTATATACTACTATGAATAAATTACCTGAAGTCACGACACTTGGTATCACACCATTTACGGATGTCTCAACGAACCCGTCAGGTGATGTTGAAATGACCTTGATACCCGCAATGCCACCTACCGGACCTGGATACAAGATCGTTGTGGCTTTGCTTCCGTCATTTCCTAATAGAATGTCATATTTTACCATTTGTATTCAAATAAGAAATCAATGACGAATATAAAAATAAGTTAACAGGTTAGTACTAAGAAGGAAAACAAAAACGTTGACTTTTAATTTTAAAACACTAAAAGATATCAAATTTGTAAGTAACATACAAACATATCACCATTATATTTGTGAAAAGAGTAGAACATGAGTGAAACAGATAATCATTTATATTTGTAAGATGTTCTACTATATTCACAAATATAAATGGTGATATGTTTCACTTACGCTCTACTCTATTCACAAATATAAATGGTGATATGTTTCACTCATGTTCTACTCTATTCACAAATATAAATGGTGATATGTTTCACTCACGTACTACTCTATATAAATGGTGATATGTTTCACTCTTTGTGAATAGAGTAGAACATGAGTGAAACATATAATCATTTATATTTGTGAATATAGTAGAACATGAGTGAAACATATCACCATTTATACTTGTGAATAGAGTAGAACATGAGTGAAACATATAATCATTTATATTTATCAATAGAGTAGAACATGAGTGAAACATATCACCATTTATATTTGTGAATAGAGTAGAACATGAGTGAAACATATAATCATTTATATTTATCAATAGAGTAGAACGTGAGTGAAACATATCACCATTTATATTTGTGAATAGAGTAAAACATGAGTGAAACATATCACCATTTATATTTGTGAATAGAGTAGAACATGAGTAAAACATATCACTATTTATATTTGGGAATATAGTAGAACACGAGTGAAACATATCACCATTTATATTTGTGAATATAGTAGAACATGAGTGAAACATATCAAAATTTATATTTGTGAATAGAGTAGAGCGGGAGTGAAACATATCATCATTTATATTTGTGAATATAGTAGAACATGAGTGAAACATATCACCATTTATATTTGTGAATAGAGTAGAACACGAGTGAAACATATCACCATTTATATTTGTGAATAGAGTAGTACGTGAGTGAAACATATCACCATTTATATTTGTGAATAGAGTAGAACATGAGTGAAACATATCACCATTTATATTTGTGAATAGAGTAGAGCGTAAGTGAAACATATCACCATTTATATTTGTGAATATAGTAGAACAT